GATACAATCTTGGAATGTTAGAGGCCTTGGTAGGCCTGAAAAAAGGAGAAAAATTAAAAAAAGTCTGGCTGGAAGGAAAATCAGTTTAGTATTGATCCAAGAGACAAAGAGCTCAACAATAACTCCTGAAGTAGTAAAATCCATCTGGTACAAAGATAATTTTGAGTTTATGGCAGTGGATGCAGAAGGTAGAGCAGGTGGGCTGTTATGCATTTGGAATCCAGGGGTGTTCCAATTAAATTCCTGTTGTGGCAACCGTAATTTCATCCTGTTGTTAGGTACTCTCTTTTCCTCCTTTAACTGTGTGATTGTTAATGTATATGGTCCATCAGAGGTGGCTAAGAGGAAAGAATTATGGGATGATTTTGCTCGGTTAAAGAATACTTTTTTGGGGCCATGGTGTATGGGGGGCGATTTCAACGAAATAAGGACCAACTCATAAAGAATTGGGTGTTCTCAAAGAGACAGAGGAATGAGGGAGTTTAATACCATGATTGACCAACTAGAAATGATTGATTTACCAATGCTTGGTAGGAAATTTACCTGGTGTAACTCACAAATTAGAGAGAAATGGAGCAGAATCGACAAATTTTTACTTAATCATGAGTGGCTACAAAATTTCAATTTCAAGTTATGGGGACTTCCTAGGACACTATCTGACCATTGTCCTATAATTTTGATGGAGGACGAAAGAGATTGGGGACCTAGACCTTTTAGGTTTCTGAATGCTTGGGCTCTCCATCCCAAATCTAATTCAGGTCGCACTATTAAGGTACAGAAAGTTGGTAATGGTTGGCTGCATGAAAGTGTAGTGGTAAGATTAAAGCCAATTTTTTCAGTTGAAGATTTTAAGGAGGAGTTACAGGGACGAGGACATGGAGATATCACAGTTAGAGTCGGTGGTGGAAGACAATTAGTTCTCTCATTTCAATCAGTGGAAGCTATGAAGGAAAAGTTACCGTTCATGAAGGACTGGCTTACAGTTTGGTGTGAATCGGTTGAGGAATGGGAAGACAGCATGGTCTTGGAACAGGTGAGGCAGGGGTGGTTAAGCTGTTATGGTGTGCCACTGGTCCTGTGGAACAATAACACGTTTTGCAGCATAGGTAAAGAGTGGGGTGAGGTTCTGAAATTGGACGAAGATACAGCTAATCTGAAAGCCTTCCATTGCGGGAAGGTAAAGGTAGCAACAAGGCACATGGGCGCCATTAATCATACCTTAAATCTAGAATGCAAAGGTATCCTATACCCAGTCCGGATCTGTGAGGAACAAATTATAGTATCACAAATAGTGAAAGAATATTGTATCTGCCAATCTTTCATGAGGAACAACGCTGATAGTTACAGTTCAGAGGAAGAAGTTGAGAATATTGCAGATCGAGGCAGCAGACAAGAGGTAGAAGAGGATAATGTGGAAGTCCATATGGGCGATGAGGTAGCTAAAGACTGTGACGTGGAAGAAGGGGTTAGGGTGGATGCACAAGTTAACACGAATGACTTGGAGGAGGATGCCAGCTTAAGGGTGGTTTCGGTGGTGGAGGAGACAGACATGATGGAGGGAGCGTCAGGGGAAGACTTCTCACGTAAGGAGGGCGCTGAAAAGAAGCTCTGTAAAGGAGTGTCAGAGAAGGGTGGCGCACGCAAGGAGGGTAGCTGTAGAGTTGATGATGAAGTGGTCACATCTGGGTTCATAAGAAGCACGAGTGGGTCTACTGGGAAGCAACCAGGAATTAAGCTGGAAATGAATTTAAACAGGGCCCATTTTGAAACATGTAGGATTGGGTCGGCCCAAAGGGCTGAAGCTCCACTTATTTGGGCTGATAATAGCAGCAACTCTATCACTGAATCTACTAATGAAGTGGGGCAATCCAATTTTGAGTTTAGGAGGGTGTCCAACAACCAATCACCTCCTGAACCTGTTATTGGTGAGGAGTAGCCCAACTCAGTGAGTAGAAGGGTGAATATAACTTATATACGAAGGAAATATATGGAGTCAGGAGTAGAAACTAGAAGCCATAAATTTTCTCAGAAGGGGAAGAAAGTAGTGGGAAAGAAATTTGTGAAGCCACCAAAGAATCTAGGGAAAGGGGCAGTTTTCAGGTCAGCAGTAGCTGCTATTTCTCTATCCATGGCAAGTAAGTCTAGTAGAGGATGCTTGAGTTTATCAGAGGCAGAAGCATCACTTCAGATTGGTAAAGTGTTGGAGGTAGCTTGTGATGGTAAGGAAGAGGAGATGATTAGCAAGCTAGAGGAACTAGAGACCAACGATAGAAGGAAAGTGGGGTGTAGGGGAGGTGAAGCTAAATGAGTTTTCAGTTCTGGGAGTTTGGGTGCTAAACAATTCTTGTAATGAAGATACAATCTTGGAATGTTAGAGGCCTTGGTAGGCCTGAAAAAAGGAGAAAAATTAAAAAAAGTCTGGCTGGAAGGAAAATCAGTTTAGTATTGATCCAAGAGACAAAGAGCTCAACAATAACTCCTGAAGTAGTAAAATCCATCTGGTACGAAGATAATTTTGAGTTTATGGCAGTGGATGCAGAAGGTAGAGCAGGTGGGCTGTTATGCATTTGGAATCCAGGGGTGTTCCAATTAAATTCCTGTTGTCAGGTACTCTCTTTTCCTCCTTTAACTGTGTGATTGTTAATGTATATGGTCCATCGGAGGTGGCTAAGAGGAAAGAATTATGGGATGATTTTGCTCGGTTAAAGAATACTTTTTTGGGGCCATGGTGTATGGGGGGCGATTTCAACGAACTAAGGACCAACTCAGAAAGAATTGGGTGTTCTCGAAGAGACAGAGGAATGAGGGAGTTTAATACCATGATTGACCAACTAGAAATGATTGATTTACCAATGCTAGGTAGGAAATTTACCTGGTGTAACTCACAAATTAGAGAGAAATGGAGCAGAATCGACAGATTTTTACTTAATCATGAGTGGCTACAAAATTTCAATTTCAAGTTATGGGGACTTCCTAGGATACTATCTAACTACTGTCCTATAATTTTGATGGAGGACGAAAGAGATTGGAGACCTAGACCTTTTAGGTTTCTGAATGCTTGGGCTCTCCATCCCAAGTTTATTCCCTTAGTGGAGGAATCTTGGTCAGAATCTCAGGTGTTAGGTTGGGTTGGGTACAGATGTCTTAAGAAGCTTAAAGCCTTGAAACAAAAATTAAAAGTGTGGAATATTGAAGTGTTTGGGAAGATTGAATTTAAAATCAAAGCTGCTGAAGAGGAAGCCCATGCTATTGAACTAATTGCTGAAGAAAGAGCACTCCTGGGGAATGAACAAGCTCGAAGAAGGGAACTAATGGGGGAAGTCTGGAGATTGAATAAAATGCTAGAATGGTCATGGTTACAAAAATCAAGAATGGACTGGGCCTTAAAAGGAGATAGGAACACAAGGTATTTTCACATAATGGCTTGTAACAGAAATAGTAGGAACTCTCTGTGTTCAGTGATGGTAAATGGTGTAATGGTTGAGGAACCTATGGAGGTCAGACATGTGGTGATGACTCACTTTAGGAATCTTTTCTCTGAAACGTGGGTTGTTAGGCCTCACTTAGCTGGGTAGTTCAAGAATATTGGTGGAAGCCAAGCAGTGGATATGTTAGAAGCAGAGTTTACTGAGGAGGAAGTTAGGAATGCTATCAAGAGCTGTGAAGGCAATAAAGCTCCTCGGCCTGATGGCTTTAATTTGGCTTTCTTTAAGAAATGTTGGGGAATAGTTAAATCTGAGGTAATGCTCTTCTTTAGAGAGTTCCATCAGAATGCCACATTGGTTTCTGGTTTAAATAGCTCTTTTATTGTTCTAATCCCAAAAGTGGACATCCCATCACACTTGAGTGAATATAGGCCCATAAGTCTTATTGGCTCCTTGTATAAAATCCTAGCCAAAGTTTTGTCACATAGGATGAAACAAGTGATGCCACAGGTAATTAGTAAGGCCCAATCTGCTTTCCTGGGGGAAAGGAATATTCTTGATGGGGTCCTTATTGTGAACGAGATAGTGGATGGGTGGAAAAAATTTAATAGGAAAGGTTTGGTTTTGAAACTAGACTTTGAGAAGGCATATGATTCGGTAAATTGGGAATTCTTATTCTGTATGTTATCCAACTTTGGATTTGGAAATAGATGGGTGAAATGGTTGAAAACCTGTGTTACCTCCACAAAGGTGTCGGTCCTGGTAAATGGTTCTCCAACCGAGGAATTTTGTCCACAACGAGGTTTACGGCAAGACGATCCACTGTCACCTTTTCTATTCAATATAGTGGCTGAGGGGTTGAATATTTTGGTTGAGAGAGCCAAGGAAATGGGTTTAATCCAAGGAGCTGTCATTGGTAATAATGGGGTAAGAGTTACGCATCTACAATTCGCCGATGATACAATTATATTTTGCGAAGCTGAGTGGGTGGAAGTGGTGACCATTAAAAGAATTCTCAGGTGCTTTGAAATTCTTTCGGGGCTGAAAATTAACTATCATAAGAGTGTGATTGCTGGCATTGGAGTAGAGGAGGGTCTGATGCAAATTTTTGCATCTAAATTAAATTGTGTTCACCAAAATTTGCCTTTAAAGTACCTTGGGTTACCTCTAGAAGCTAATCCTAGCAGGTTAAGCACTTGGAAGCCAGTTTTGGACAAATTTAAGCAAAAATTATCCACATGGAAGAGAATGTTGCTAATGTTTGCTGGGAGGTTGACTTTAATTAAATTCGTTATGAGCAACTAGCCTACTTATTATCTGTCACTGTTCAAAATACCTGAGGGAGTGGTAAAGGAAACTGACAAAATTCAAGCTAAGTTTCTTTGGGGGGGATCAGATCTTAGAAGGAAAGTTCACATGGTTAGTTGGGAGAATACTACCAAGAGCAAAACTTTGGGAGCTTTGGGAATCAGAAGAATCACTGATATGAATAAGTGCCTGCTACTGAAATGGTGGTGGAGGTTTGGGGTGGAAAATCACTCGCTATGGAAGGAAGTCATATGCTCAAAATATAACATGGGGGGTGGACGATGGCTGCCAGATTTGGAAGGAAGAGTTAGAGGCTCAAAAATTTGGTCTGACATAGTTACTGCAATTACCTCTAAGCTTGTATTACATAATTTTTATCTTGAAAACTCTGCAATTATTTTGGAGAATGGTAGGAGAGCACAATTCTGGAGGGATAAATGGGCAGGGGAGTTGTGTTTAAAGGATGAATTTCCCAGACTGTTCTCTCTCTCTACTGTCAAAGATGGAGTAGTGGCTGACTTTTATACCAGTAGTGGAATGATCCAGGACTGGCTTTTCGAGTTTAGGAGACCTCTGTTGGCTTGGGAAGAGGAGGAGGTGAACAAGTTACATACCTTACTCAGGAGTGCACCGGCTGTGAGGGTCATATCGCTCGATATATGGATGTGGAGGGCTGATTCCTCTGGGATGTATTCAGCTGCTTCAGGTTATAGAAGATGCGAATCATTATTGGGTCCTGATAGGGAAGTGGCAAGGGAAGTATGGAACAACTGTGCACCACCAAAAGTTAAATTCTTTGGGTGGTTGGCTTGGTTAGGCAAGGTGAAAACATCCAGCTATCTCCAAAGAATTGGGATTTTAGATGAGGCTGCCAATGTTAGCTGTGTTTTCTGTCAAAATGAGGTGGAATCGGTCAACCATATCTTGCTCTTTTGCCCATTTGTTTGGCTACTGTGGTCTCAGATTATGAAGTGGTGGGGTGTTCAGTGGGTGATGCCAAACTCAGTGGAAGGGCTATTGCAGTGGTGGTCATTTTGCAAGATGAAGAAGCTTGAGAAAGTGATGTGGAAGGTTGTGCCTTTGGCTGTCCTTTGGTCCATTTGGAAGCATCGGAATGATTGTATCTTTAATGGTGCTCAACCAAATTTAGAAGACTTATGTGAGGTTGTCAAAGTAAGAATCGCTTTGTGGGTAATATCCTCCTCAGCCAAAGTAGAGTTCTCCATTAATGATGTAGTTTTTAATTTGCACTAGGTTCATTATTGTTTAAGGCAGAGGAGTTGAGTATAGGCTGTCTTGATGCATTCACTGGACAGTGGTATTGAGGATGTATGTTGCTGTCTGCTGTATGTTGCTATCTGTTGTTTGCTAATCTGGTTGCTAATCTGCTAGAGTGCAGAGGGACAGTGGTTTGGAGGATGTTCATATGTTAGAGTGCTTGGGCAGTCCCCAGTGTGCTTCTGCTCATTTGTTCATCTGTTATGCTACTCATCAGCTAGAGTGCAGTGGACAGTGGTATTGAGGATGTTCATTTGTTAGAGTGCTCAGCTGGCTTGGTGATGTTATTTGGTCTTGAGTGTGCTTCTGTTCAGTTGTTCATCTGCTAGTAATCAGGTGGAACTCTGTTCTAGGATTGTTTGCTGTTGGGTAGGCTTCATGGTAAGGGTAAATGGTGTAATGGGGTGGTCCCTGCTGTGTTTGGTGATAATTGCAAGAATGATACATCGGAAATGGAATGCTGCTCTGTTGTGTGCTGAGAAGTGGGGTGCTGTGGGATGATGTACTAGTGATGTATTACCTCATGGCGTACACATACAATTGCAGATGTTAGTGCTGTTAGTGGCTGCTAGAGTTGGCTTTTTGTGTATGGTTGTTTCTACTGCTTCTGATGGCAGGGGAGTTTTTTGCTTGTCTTTTGTTGGTTTTGGTTGGTTACTCATCAACCTGATGTGATGCTGCAAATGATTGTGCTTGTTCTATGGTGCCAACCTAGTTGGGATCATATTACTTAGCTATGATGCTCGTGCATTCATCTCTTTTATTGTTGTATATTTTCTTATTTCTCATCAATAAATCTTTTTCTTTGCCGATCAAAAAAAAAATGAAGAGAAGATTACTAGTATGTAAAAAGAAAGAATTTGTGACTATATTTGTTATTCACATTTTGAAACTGGTCTAAAATTAGTGTATTTAATACAAGTTATAATTTTTGTGAAGTTGATCATAACAAATATCATTACTGAATCATTTCAAGGTCGTTATTTAAAAAAAAATAAAATTATTACCATAGGATATAACCAAAGACCTTTTTGAATTATAATTAAAATAATCTCATAGCTAACATCACAATGAGTCATAACACACATCACAAAATGTGTAACTAAATCATAATCAAGTCATAATTAACACCACAATAAGTCATAATGAAATATCACAAATATTATGACTGGTTGAGGAAATCCTATGGGGTGTGTACCATATGTACATTGTGATTTGTTTTTGTAGTATGTGTTATGTATTTTTGTAATAAATGTTACATATTTTTTTGATAGAAGCTATGATAATTTATGGTTGAAAAATGAAGTTACTTTTTTTGTGATAATGTTACGCATTTTGTGATAGTGTTATATATTTTGTAGTTACAAAAAGTTTGGATAAAATAATGTGTAATATTACCACAAAAATGTATAACACTATCACCAAATGCGTAACTTTATTTTTGAATTACAAATTGTCATAATTCCTACTACAAAATACGTAATATTTATCACAAAAATGCGTAACAAATGCATATGATACACACTATTATTGTGTGTAGCATAGTATTTTCATCCATATAAAAAACAAATTATTAATAAAAAGGGGCCTAAGTGTTATATAAATTAAAATCATAAGGGAACTTAATGTAATTCTATCAAAACCGTAGAATTTATTGTATTTTCACCAAACTTGAAGGGAAGTTGCAATTTACACTTTTTTATTTAACAATTTTTAATACTCCTACAATAAAATAAAATAATAGAGAAATGCCCCATCTCTTATTCTATCACTCCCAATTGCATCTTTAATGAGGTGATAAATAATATCAATCAATTAATTTTCTTCAAACTCTTGTCTCTCATTTTAAAATTGCTTGTTACCTTATTTATTGAAAATATAATTAAAGGTGATAAAACAAAATAACAGAAGCTTCGACGACTGCTTCTTCGTAAATCGCTCTGAGGTTTCACGTGAGGAAGCTTCGACGACTCAAGGACCGCGCTGTCGCGACTTTTAGTTTTATGCAATTTCATTTAACTTGGGAAGGTTAAGTTGGTTGTTTTTGTCAGAATTAAACTGCATATGAAAATCTCTATCTCATTTGACATTTTCAAACTAACCTACCAATACAGGGAATTCAAAGTTTCAATTTCAAACCATACATTTCATTCATTGTAACAACATTATTATACTGATTTTTCATCCCAAGCCACCCTCTTCACGAGGTTTTATATTTATATATATGTGTGTGTGTGTGGAAGCTTCTATTAAGAAAATTTCAAAGCACAAATTCACATATAAATTAACAATCCCCCACTGAATACAACACCACCACATCCCTGCTTCACTCTCTTTCTTTCTTTGTTTCTCTCTCTGAAAGTTGAAACAGATGGCGGCTTCCCACAGTTTCATGGCTTTTGTAGCTATTATCCTTGCTGCTGTTGTGCTTCCTGTGAGTGCTAAAGCATCTGATGGCATCGCACCTGCTCTCGCTCCTTACGTTGGTAAGTAATCTCTCTCTACGTGCTAATCTAATGATTAATAATTGACTTTCGCAGATAAAAAAATAATAGAGTAATACTAGCAAATCTAAATATTTTGTCAAATCTTCTACTAAATGTCACATAGGTGTGTAACTCATACCAAATATTTTATATATAATGTGAGTTCCGCACCTATGTAGAACATTTGATAAAATATATAACTCCCTAACATATTTCAAAATCTGTCTCTCATGAATGTGAATGCATGTGTATACACAGACAATATATGCAATGACGTGGAATGTGGAAAAGGAAATTGCACTGTAGCACTTAACAGCACATTCAACTTCAAATGCGAATGTGAAAATGGTTGGAAGCGTACCCGTTTTGACAGTGAACAGGATCTTCTGTTTCTTCCCTGCGTTATTCCTAATTGTAATTTACCCTCTCTTCTCTTCTCTTTCTTCATTTTCATACTGCTCTTTTCTTTCTTTCTCATAATTCTCTTATAAACAAATAAAATATCTATCTAAAAAGTTTTCAAACTCTCAACTATCAAGTTACTTTAGGTTGTATTTGAATTTTGACAAAAAAATAAAAATAAAAATAAAAATAGTGAATGAAGGGAAAAAAAATTAAGCAGAAATTGAATTTTTTTTCAATTTTTATTTTCTTTTTCGTCCCTGTAAATCTTTTACAAAATCAAAACTCAAACATAATATTACTATTGACTTATCTTAAACAAAATATAAAAATAGTAGAAAATGCATAACAGTCACAACAACAACAACAACAACAACAACAACAAAACTTTTGCATCTATTATGCCTCTTTCTTCAATAAAGTTTTTTTTTTTGTTGAAAAAAAAAAAACAAAAAAAAAACAACAACACGACTTTTCAGCAATCTCCCAAAACATATTATAAGTTCATCTTATAAATTAATTTTAATCAAACAGTAGTTGGTGTGTTTATATACATACAAATATTATTTGTGCAGTTTAGTGATGGAATTAATAATGGTTTGATTTTGGTTGGTGGTTGAAGGTTCTCTTGACTACTCGTGCATGCCAGCCGCTCCTCCAGCTCCATCCGTTCCATTAAATTCATCTGTATTTGATCGTAATCATCCTTACTCACACTATACCTTCTCTACCCTTACCGTCAATATCATTTAATTTTTCTTTTATTTCTGGATATAATCTGGTTACCTTAATTAATATTAATAATTTGATTATGGGTTTTGTAGCATGTTATTTTGTCTATTGTGGAGAAGGAACATGCACGAAGAACAAAACAATGACTCATACTTGCCAATGCAACCCTGGTTACTCTAATCTTCTCAACATCACTGCCTTCCCCTGCTACAGTGACTGTAAGAATTAATCCATGCCCTCAAAACTCTCTTCTATTTTTATTCTACATGTACATGTATATGTTGATATTATTGAAAATGTCTATGAACACAAAAGTCGATTAATGAAAAAGGATTGTGTCTGATTCAGTGATTGATTTTTGCCCAAATAGAATACCGGATAATATTTCTACATATGCAAAATTCAACTACCCCCACCGACCTTTTGTTCATTTTTATGGTGAAAGTGAACTTTAACCAATGATTTTGTGGCTTCTAAAATTTGTTTTTGTATTTTTTTTTTTTGATTTAGGTGCCCTGGGTTCTGACTGTGCAAAGCTTGGAATTAAGGTTTCAAACTCAACGTCAAACTCAACGTCTTCAAGCAATAGCAATCAAGGTGAGATGACCATTCAAATCACTTCTAACTTCTAAGCCCTTTATTCTTTTTCTTTTTTTTTCTTTTTTTTTTTTTCTTTTTCTTTCCGGTCCGCAATCAATTAGGCTAGCTTAGCCTAATTGACTACATGACTTTCTTACATTGTGTTTGGTTAGATAATTTGGTAATGAAAAAAGAAAATATAGATGAAATGTGAATAAAATAAACTTATATTTCATTTAATTTCACACATTTTTTCTCTTTCATTTTTCAAATCTTTTTCAAAATCCCTCAACTAAATACAACGTCAAAGGCTTAATCTAAAAAAAAGTCATGGATTCAACTCTGATAAAGTAAATAGTTTAATGGATTTTGATTCATTCTATTTTTATGAAATATAAATTTTCATGTTATTTGATAAGGTTACCCAATACATCATCCATCTAAAATCGACTACCTATAAGTAAACATTATAATATATATATTTTTTTAAATATGAATTTATCAATGTGAATTTTTCACAGATTGTTAATTATGAAATAAAGATATCGATTGCATCTATGAAAGCCGTTTGTGGTATACTTGATAGCCCCAGGCTTTTGAATCCTTAGACTGGACTAAGAAAGTCAATAATATATTTAATATTAAAACATATTTTAGTAAGCTGTTAGCTGTCTCTTTATAGTTGATGAAATTCACAAAATTCACATTTTAATCATGAAAAAAGATACATAAATCTATTTTTTGAACTTGTTTTTTAAACCCAATAATATATATGTAAGATAATTAGTTGATAATTAAAGAAGTTATAAAAAAGAGTTGTTTTAGATATTTTAACATTATTACATCGTTGAATTTAAAAAATTAATCTAATTTTTAAGTATAAAAAGCATCACCCTTTTATTATATGGGAGTTAAAATGTCTAATTTCATATAAAATAAGAGATTTTACATGGACCAATTATTGCATGCCAAGACTTTTGTTTATTTTTTTAATTTTTTAATTTTTATAATACTTCAAAGGCAAGAAGCAGGAATCTCATTTCAGCACACTACTTTAAATCTTTAAGGGCATGTTTGATAATCAAATAAGGGGGCATGTTTAATTATTCATCCATTGATCTGTTACCTGTATTTTGTATCTCATCATCCATGTTTGAATATTCATCCATCGATCTATTACTTGTGTTTGTCTCTCATCATCCATATTTGAATATTCATGGATTGATCTATTAATTAATTGTGTTTGTCTCTCATCATCCTTTGTTTTGTTGTGGGTGTAG